TTTAGAGGTTAAGGGGTTTAGGGGTTTAGGGTTTAGGGGTTTAGGGTTTAGGGGTTTAGGATTTAGGGGTTTGGGGTTTTGGGTTTAAGGTTTAGGGTTTAGTGCTTAAGGTTTAGGGTTGAGGGTTTAAGGTGATGGCTTGGGATTTGGGGTTTACCCTTGCAGGATGATGCAAAATTGAAAGTAACAACCTGGAAAATGCAATGGAAGCTGTTCTTCATTGTGTTTGGTATAGGGGCCGTCATGTACATGCCTGTCTACTTGGAATAGGGTTTTCAGGGTATGTTGTACGGGGATTTGTATGCAAATTCCAAGGCATTACGATTGGTAATTATTCAAGAACCCCAAACCCTCACGCCTTAACTCCCAAAAACCCTAGACCCTAACTAATACTAATTCCAACAAACGCCTACAGCCTATACATCCCATGAAGCCCGTATATGCTATGTTATATGCGCGGCTTCTATTTCAGCATCCGTGTCCTTTTAAATTTGATTCTTCACTACTCTAATTGCTCAGCAAACTCCCTTTACATCCGGAAAACCCGATAGACTTCAACCCCATGCCCTGCCCGAACCACCTCCAGCTTAGTAGTATTGCCCAGAGACTAGGTATAACTAATAAACATGTAGGTAGTTGGGGGTTACAGGAAAACCCAGTCGTAAACCCTAACTATCAAACCCCTGAACTCTGACTCGAAATCTAACCTTTGAACCCCCTAAACCCCATAAACCCTTAAACCCTAAANNCCCTAAACCCTAAACCACCCAAACACTAACTCTAAAACCTAACCTTTGAAGTCCCGGGAACAGCGGCTCGTCGGCTTCAGCCGACCGCGGCTCGGCAGAGCATCGCTCGGTGCAACCCCTGCGGGGGGGAGTTGGGGGGGGGGGGGGGCTGGGAGAGTTTAGGTTTTGGGGTTGAAAGTTGGTGTCTTAACGCCCAGGAAATGGTTTAGGGCTTAGAGGGTTTGTAGGGTTTAGGCTTTTTGGGTTTACAGGGATTTGGGCACAGGGCTTTGTGGGGCCTGAAGAAAGTAGTTTGGGGTACTGCATGTTTGGGGTCAGGCTTCGTGGTGTGTAGCGGCACGGAAACATGCTGTTGCGTGAGGCTTAAGAAAGTAGAGCAGGCTTCACGGTTAAGTTTGTGGTTAAGGGTTTGTAGGGTTCAGGATTTACAGGGTTTAGGGTGTATAGGGTCCTGGGCGCGTAGGTCTTTGGATTTAGGGTCTTGGGAAGACTTCAGCTAAATTTTGTCTTAGCATGGTGCCCATTGGGATATCACTATAGACAAATTTCGAGTTTGCCTTCCATATTGGCTTTAGCAATGTTATCTTCAACAAAGACCGAGCTAAGTCTCTTGAGAAAAGGGTTAGATATCTTTCAGGGGTAGGTGCAACAATTGAAGCATTTCGAGATTAGTGGGTTAAGGGCAGTAGGGTTCCTAAACCCTAAACCCCAAAACCCTAAAACCGTAAAACCCTGAACCCCTAAACCCTA